TACCAGGACATCATCCACATATCTCTTCCAAAAGATGATATTTTCGGTTATGTCATTTCTTGTGTGGAGTAAATTGGTTTCAAGTTTGTCGAGAAAAAGTCCGCCAGGAGTCCACTCAAAGGGGAGCCCATGGGTAAGCCGTCCGAATATTTGTATAGTTTATTGTCGAAAATGCAAGTATTTTGGGCTAGGTAAGTTTTGAGAAGGCTTTGCAGATGGTCAGCGTCTTCTGAGTCTAGTTTGTTCTTAAAATAATCATGAGTTATGGTGAGAGTCTCTGGAACCGGGATGTTTGTATATAGTAGATTGGTGACATCAAATGACACCAATTCAAAGTTGTCAGGGAAGCGTTGGTTTAGAAGTTCTTCTATAAGATGTTGTATAGGGTTATTAGGTTTATGTAGTTTTATGAGGGAGTAGAGATTAGGAATCTTCGGGTTCATTGGTAGAATATTTGAGATTTTAATATTGTATTTATCCAAAAACGATTTGGAGGTCTTTGAGGGCTTTTTTCGTTTTTGTATGTAAGGTATTGACAGGATTAGATTTTATTTCTGTAAAATTATTTTGTGATAGGAAAGTTTCGGTTTTCTGTTTATAAATCTTTCTATCTATAATTACTATACCCGCATTCTTGTCTGCTTTGGTGATAATTGCATCTCGTGATTGGATTTTATTTCTCATGGAATTAACAATTTTCATCTCTGGATTGATTATTCTTCCATTATTGTTCTTGTGTTGTTGATGGTTTTCAACTCTCTTTAAGAAATCGATGATATCCAGCCGAAGGTCCTTCTCTTGTAGATTATACCTTGCTGCTGCTTCTAGTTCTATGCTGAGGTGACTCAGTCTAGGGTGTTTCGGCAAAGCATATTTGTGTCCTTTATTTAGAAAATCCTGTTCCTTAGGTGTAAATGATATGTTGGTCAAGTTTGTTAATCTGGGGTGAAAGGTAAATGATGTTTGTTGTTGAGTCAAATCTAGTTTTTCTCTATTTTTCCTTTCAGCCACAAGTTTGTCCAATTTCTTTTGTTTTCTTCTCCAGTTATCCAAAAGGATACCATTTTTGTGTATTTTGGCTTGTTCTATAACTTCTTGTAGTTCAGTGTAATGTAATTTACTGGCCAACAAGTGGTAAACGAGTAGAAGTAATCTGTTATTGTGATCTATTTTTATATTCTGTTTTTTTAGTTCATTATTAATATGTTTTTCCCTTATTTGACGTTTTTGTGCATCACTTAAGTGGCGAGGTAATCTGTATTTAATGTATGTTGGAACTAAATGCTCAGTTCTCATCGTTTTGTTAAATTTTATATGTTGTTTGAGAGATTTAATCTTGTATGTTAATTCCTTGTAGCGTAGGATCAGAAGAGCCGTATTAGCTGAACTGTATTGTTGATAAGTAGATCCATTCTTTCTTTAACCAGTGCGATAATTAAATAAAATCGAAAATTTTTGTTACAACTGGTTTATTTTTAAGTTTCAGTTCAACCTGACATGTTTCGGTCAAATGACCGAAATGATTTTTAATAATTTATTAGAATTGTTTCAATGTTTTTAGCAACATAACCTCAATTAATATATTAATATATTTAACTTTATAAAATGATAAAAACTCAAAAACTGAAATGACAAATGTAAATTCTTTTTTCTTCAGACCAATAACAACAACAGAAATAATAACAACAGTTGCTCAAATTAAGAACAGCGACACAACTAACATAAGTAGTATTTAATGCCGGATTAAGGATTTGTAACTAGATTTAGGTTGGTATTGGAAAAGTTACTACTCTCGGGTTACCAACCACTAGGTTGCACAATAAAAAAAATCACCAGATAAATTTGCTTGATGAGCGATAGAGCGCAAGAGCATCAGGATTCAGGATTCACTGCCGGTCTAGAACCGACATTAATATACTAAAAGTCACCAGATTTAGTAACTTTTCCAATACCAACCTAAATCTAGTTACAAATCCTTAATCCTGGTCCAGAACCGGAATTAATATACTACTGACACATATGGCTTAACAAACAATATAATAAAGTCATTAATAAAACAGAATGCGGTCAATCTTAATATTATGTTCAATAAATGTGTCAGCGATGGAATTTTTCCTTCAGAGTTCAAGACAGCGAGAGTCCTGCCATTACACAGGGAATAAAAAGGGCTATATCAATTTTGCCCGTTATCTCCAAGATATTTGAAAGATTAATAGCAAAAAGGTTAATGGAATACTTTAAAACCAATAAATATTTTGCGACCAATGAGCACGGATACCAATTACCAATTATTAATTTTTACTTTTCAAATTGCTGCGTATATTTTTCTTCACATCATTGGATAGAGATTGTTTTTTTGAATCCATTGATGTACAATACATCCATTTTAAATGTAATTTTAGCAGAATAAAGACACCTGTAACATACCGAGCAATTTGAAAAACAAAAGTTAATAATCGCCTGGAATTGAAGATGGCCTTGAAAAAAATTTATTTGTAGCATGAATCAAACTATTTCATTTGATACTTCGCTCATGAAAATCAGAATATAAATGACAGAGTTATAGTTTGGGGCGTTTTTTGTGTGACACCCTGTATAAGAAAATTTTGAAAAAATCTATTATATGATAATTAACTTCAGATTTAAAATGTCAACCTCAATTTTGACATATTTGTAATCTTCATTAAAAATCCTTTAAAATGAGTACAAACACGACATATTTATCTTCAATATTAATGAAGTTATGGTCAACTTCCGGTTACAAATGTCAATGTTATATTGACAAATTCTTAATTTTTATAAAATGTCTTAAAATTTATCACAAAAACAAAAATGCAATAAAAAAAAATTAAAAATTAAGGTTGGTATTAATATTTAATAATTAAACTGCTATCTTCGTTGTTGCTAACTTCGTATTTAACTTTTTTTATTCAAACTTTTTCGTTTTTTGAGATAAGTGCGTCATGTTTAGACACATTTTAAAGGTTTTTTTAATAAAGAATACATCATGAAAGAACACCATGAAGTTGTCCATTTGTCTATTATATGATAACTAACTTCAGATTTAAAATGTCAGCCTCAATTTTGACATATTTGTAATCTTCATTAAAAATTCTTTTCCGTCGACTGTGTATTTATATGATTTATAAATGTATTAATAAACGATTTTAAGAAAGTCCGACCGAACTAATATAGTAGTCAATTTTTCTCCAATCAAATCGGTAATACCGACCCAATCGACCACTATATCTATTCGGTAAGACTACAATATTAAGTTTTGACTTTTGACACATTAAGAGTGAGGTTTTTATTTTGCCAGTGATAGAATTGGGAGATTTTTCAACGATGGATTTTCTCTATTTTGTTGAAAAGACGGTCAACGGAAAAATATTGTAACTAACTCGTATATTAAAATGCGATTAATTATCTCAATAATTAATCGCCTTCATTAATAGACTTGTTCATTAAAAAACCATTAAAATGAGTAAAAACACGACATATTTATCTTCAATATTAATGAAGTTATGGTCAACTTCCGGTTACAAATGTCAATGTTATATTGACAAATTCTTAATTTTTATAAAATGTCTTAAAATTTATCACAAAAACAAAAATGCAATAAAAAAAATTAAAAATTAAGGTTGGTATTAATATTTAATAATTAAACTGCTATCTTCATTGTTGCTAACTTCGGATTTAACTTTTTTTATTCAAACTTTTTTGTTTTTTGAGATAAGTGCGTCATCTTTGGACTCATTTTAAAGGTTTTTTAATGAAGATGACAAATATGTCAAAATTGACGTTGACGTTTCAAACCGGAAGTGATTGTATTTCCATTAATATTAAAGTTAAATATGTCGAGTTTGGACTCATTTTAAAGGATTTTTTATGAAGTTGACAAATATGTCAAAATTAAAAGTGAAAGTTCGAACTTTTTGGCTTTTTGAGATAAATGCGTCAAGTTCGGCCTCATTTTAAAGGTTATTTTATGAAGATTAGGAATATAATAAGAAAATTAAAGTTGACATTGACAACTGAAAGTTTTTTTCACGACTAAACCCGACTGTTTCTAGTTCTAGGTCTTGTGTTAGTTCTAGTGATAGTGCAAAACTAGAACTAACACTAGATCTAGAACTAGAAATAATCGGGTTTAGTCGTGCGTCTTCAGATTTTTCTAAGTTCTTGTCTAAGACGCCCGGCTAAACCTAAAACTTTCTAGTTCTAGGTCTAGTTTCTTATACACATTTTAATTGATCTATAAATATTTTTTTTCATTTAATCCACTTACCTTGCTTATAATTTCATCCATTTTGCATTAAATACATCCAATTAATTAATGTTTTTCATTAAAAAACTTAAATTTAACGTCTATTTTGACAAGCACCTGCCATATTTGGATCTTAATCACCATGGTAACAGAGAAACAGAGTCAAGTTGGATAACCTTAAAATAATAAAACTTTATTTTAATTTTTTTATCAATTCTAACTTAATTTTAATTAATTTTAAAACAATTCGAATTCTTTATGAATATCTCGCATTCATAACAAATTCGTTAATTGTAATTAATTTAAATCGATTTTAATTAAGAGAAATAAATTAAAATTTTTTTTTTTATTTAATCCACTTACCTTGTTTATAATACAATAGATAAACCAATTTTGAGTTAAACACAGCCTTTTAAACCAATTAAATAAGACTTTTTCTTTAAAAAAACTTAAATTCAATTTCAATTTTGACAAGCACTTGCAATATTTGGATCTTAATCACCATGGTAACCGAGTCAAGTTGGATAACCTAACAATAATAAAATTATAATAAGTTAATATTTTGTTTTATATTTTAATAATATTGCATAAATAAAAATATAGGAATGTGAATTCGTTCAATGATGTCATAGGATACATTCATTATCTGTCTACAAATTACAGATTCCTGTAAAGTAGTATTTTAACACACATTTATAAAAAATAACAAGGAAACCGGAGTATTAAAGTGAATCAAACGAATATAATCGTAATCTTAAACATTATCAGAAATTTACTTTAGATAACACCAAGTTATTTTAATCTCGTATATCTGGGTGGAGAATTTAGTCACAAAATGTCAACAATCCAAAAGTGAGGTTATATAAACGTCAGTTGTAACTTTTTAATCAAAAATTTATAAAAACAAGTACAAAAAGCGGTAAGTTTGCATCATAAATAGTTTTGTTTAACCCTAATCTTAATTTTTTAGTTAGAAAAATGTCGCGGCAAACGAATACCGAACGAAAAATGCCTGAAAAGCTGCTCATCCTAAATGATCGAGGTGTCGGAATGCTCACGCGGATTTACAATATAAAAAAAGCGTGTGGTGATGCAAAATCAAAACCGGGATTTTTATCAGATAAAAATTTAGAGTCGTCTATTAAACATATAGTTCGTAAGTTCCCGAATATCGATGTAAAGTCACTTGGACCATTGGGAAACATTCGAAACGATATTATCAAGTCTTTATCTCTTTATTATTACACTTTTGTGGATTTATTAGATTTTAGAGATAGCGTAAGCGAGTTGTTAACCTCAATGGATGCTTGGGGTGTTAATTTAGACATTAATTTAAATTTTGAGTTAACAAAGAATTATTTAGATTTAGTTGTAACATTTGTAAGCTTAATGATTTTATTATCTAAAGTGGAAGATCGCAAAGCGGTATTAGGCTTATTTAATTCCGCCTATGAGATGATACATAATCAAATGGATCATAGTTTTCCAAGATTAGGGAGTATGATCACTGATTATGATGTTCCATTAAAAAAATTGTATGAGGAGTTTGTTCCTCATGGTAGGATTTTAATGGGGGCGCTAAAATCGTTGGAGGGAATTTATTCGAGTAGGAACGTCCCCGCGGATACTTGGAGGGTCGATTTAAAATTAAGTTTAGTTGGAAACCCCGCTTGCTTGGTTAAGCCTTTAATGGGGGAAAAAACGATGTCTTGCGAGTACCTCTCAATGGACACCATGGATCGTTGGATCATTTTCGGGGCGGCTTTAATCCCGCAAATTATCCAGGTCGAAGGCGGTTTCAAAATTTGGGGGAAAGCCTTGGAGTCTTGTTGGGTTATCCCGCTATTTCGGGACGAAGTGATTCACATCCACCCCTATATCATTTCTTATTTCGACGCGCAAAAGGGTTATGGGAAAAGAATTTCGGAAGTTAAGGAGTGCCAAAGTCACGCGATTCAAAAAGCGGGGTATAAACATAGAGAGAGGCGCAAATTTTTGCGGACTGCTCTGAAAGAGTTGGGGTTAATTTTAACTGATCAACCTGGTTTGTTGGGGCCGAAAGCTTTGATGGTGTTTATGGGGTTGTGTTACGCTCGGGATGAGGTGCTTTGGTTGTTGCGGCACAATGATAACCCGCCGTTGCAAAAAAATAAGGGGAAATCAACTGAGGATTTGGTCGATAGGCAATTACCGGAGTTGTTGTTTCATATGGAGGAGTTNATCAAAATGAATTTTAAATAATGAGTGAACCAAAATAGCTCCCCCCCTTGAGTCCCTATTTGCCTGCAGTTCAGAGGAGACGGCTGGGTTCGTTGAAAAAGGGCGCCACACCATTTAATAATAGGGACTCCACTAATGGTGAAATGTGAGGGGTGAATAATAAAAAAAAAGTAATAATGGAGGAAAAGAAATTAATAAACAGGAAGTTGTATCGAAGAATATTTAAAAAAAATTGGTGAATCTCTCGACAACAAAAAAAAAACCAAATACAATGACCGCAAGGTCACGCAAACTAAATATATAAAAGAAAATTGATAAACCAAAAGAAATGATTGAAGTTAAATTTAAATCAAAGAAAAATTTTCTAGGCCTAGTAAATCTTTTAAAAATAATCCTAAACAGGATGTAAATGAAAATGAACGTAAAAAAAAAGATTTGATATAGTTCTAACAAAATCGAAAAGAACAACAAAAAAATATAGTTTAAAAATGATAATTTTGTTACAA